GTGAAAGTAGCATGAAAAGAAAAAGATTCCTTTGACCCAATAGAGCAGTGATTCTGTTAGTGATAGTGAAAGTCAACCTACATAATAACCCTCCTCTCTCTTCTCCTTCACCAGCCATGAAGATTTTCAAAGGTAAGTGCAGGTCAATTTGATACTTTTCTTTATATTATGTATTTTCTTTATTATTTTGTACTATATGACAGTATTGTGATCATTGTTATATGAATATTTTTGAGTTGTGGAATGAATTGTCTGAGTTTCTGTTATTTCTTGTGGGGAAATTTGCTTTGATATACAAGTGCTTTGGATTACAAGCATATTTCCATAATGAATTATGCTTGCAGACTAAAGTTTTACTCTAGTAGATTGTATTTGTCTGAAAATAATATGTATAATAACAGACATATAAAGAATGCCATGTGGTTTGGCTATTTTGAGCTGTTTACATTTCTCTGACAACAGCCATATGCAAAACTAAGAATCCCTTGAATAAATTTAGAAAAATCATTAAAGGAATTATTAGTGTATTCAAGAATGCAGAAAAACCTGGAAGAATATAGTGATAGATGAAAGTATGACTTTTATGGAGAGAACATCTGCATTTTCATCAATACATAAAGGAAAATGGCCTAATGGTTAACCTATGATTTACATAACTATGCTGGAAAAAGTGCAAACGTTTTGATGCATGGGCATTCTTATGATGTTGTTTTGAAACTAATGAACAGTTTATAATTTAAACACTGAACATTATATGCAGGTAGTTACTATTTGAATATACCCCTAGCACTTTAACAAAAAGAAACATATTTTTATAGCACAGTACAGCCAAATTGAAAAATTTTACCAGTACAAGCAAAGACAAAACAAAAATGTGGCAAAATCATAAACTTTGAAAATTCTTCTGGTGTAAAATTCATTAAATGGACTGGTAAAAGAACACTTGTATGTTAATGACTTGTAAAAACCATACATGTCAATGCAATACACTATATCAATAGAGCCAAGGACAAAAACCATATGATTATCTCCACAGATGCAGAAAAAGCATTTGACAAAATCCAACATGCATTTATGATAAA